TCAGTTAAGCATCTGCCTTCAGCTCAGGTCATGATCCCAGGGTTCTGGAATGGAGCCCTGCAGGGGAGTCTGTTTCTCCTGCTTCTCCCTCTACCACTCCCCTGCTTGCATTCCTGCTCTCAGTCAAATAAATAAAATCTTAAAAACAAAAAATAAAAATTTATGCTCAATTACCCACATCAATGTTTTCAAAGTCACAAATGTATGCCTAAAGGACACTAATTTATGTTCAGAATGACCTTATCATAATATTAAATTACCATAATATTCTGGTATTGCTTTTTAGTTTCTCTTTTTTTCCTTCCAATACGTGTGGGCTTGGAGAAAGTTTCCTTTCCAGTTCATTCTACTAGTTGCTTTATATTATAAGAAGGTTCCCTTGAAGCAGTATAAAAACGGCTAAAGGTCGTCTGTGTGTACGTGTAAATAACCTACAGACTAGGAGACAGATACATACAGAAAGATTTTTTGAAACGATTGCTGTCAGGGAACCAGACAGCCTTTCCCAACACCACATATACTGAGCCCAGGTGATAAGAACAGTGGTCTGAGAACGAACATCTGTTCTCCAAAGCACAGGGGTTTCCAGGAAGCCTGGAGAACCAAGAGGCAGGTGATTGGTGCCTGCTTTTATTAATCCCTACCTTCACGTGTATTTACTATAGACACGGTCACTGCACGGCTGATCACCCCATTCAGATCATAAAAGGAAACTTTTTTTTTTTTTTTTAAGATTTTATTTATTTATTTGACAGACAGAGATCACAAGCAGGCAGAGAGGCAGGCAGAGAGAGAGGAGGAAGCAGGCTCTCCGCTGAGCAGAGAGCCCGATGCAGGGCTCCATCCCAGGACCCTGAGATCATGACCTGAGCCGAAGCCAGCGGCTTAACCCACTGAACCACCCAGGTGACCCGGAAACTCTTTTTTGATAGCAAATTTACCACTTAATAACCCAAGGGGAAGTGGTGGTAAGGCATCTGGGTAACTGACTCCCAAAGGGACTAATCCGCTGGGGTAGTTGGAGAGGGTGCGGCGGGGCACTACTCTTTGTACTCAGCGAGGGGCCTACAGCTTGCCTCTGAGAGGAGAGGCGGGTGGTGGTGGGATTTAGCCGTGCAAAGTGTCCAGAGAGGAGACCCTGGGTCAGCCTGTGGCTTGTGGAGGGGTCCCCACGGGTGTGGTCTGGTGAAAGCAACCTGGGTTATTGTACAGGCCGACCTCTGAATTTTAGGGGCCAGAGACAACAAAAGCCATGGAGGCTTCCCAAATATTTGCTGGCATTGATGGTGAATCAGGAACATAAGGGAAAAAGTTAAGGGCAGGTTGCAATTTTCACTCAACCCTCCTGTCCCGGCCTGATGATGGTACCGATCTGGTAAATGTGTAGATGTGCAGTCACGGTTCTTGACCCTTCACACGACTTATAGGACCAGTCATTAGAAAACCCAGATTTGATACTCTTCGTCAATAGGTCCGATGCTAAAGATGTAGAAGGGAAGTTACACACAGGAATGCTGCAGTAACTCAGTATGAACTACCAGAAAGGGGAATCTTCCCTGTTTTAAGTCTGTAACGAGCAGAGTGACATGCCCTTACTCGTTAGCTACCCAAAGATACCACCAGCACATATGCCTTAGGGGTGGTCTCTCGCTTTGCTCCATGATGGAAACCGAGAAAGTTCCTCACTTCTGGAAAACTGGACTCGGGAGTAGATGAACTTCGCTGCCATTCTATTGTCTGACTGAACTGGATGATTAAAAACGAAGTTCATATTGGAAAACAGAACCCAAGTAATCAGGGAAATGCTCTAGTGGATTTCCATGCTAAATCAGCCAATATACAACTTGAGTGAACTCCTAAGATTGATTCTAGCCAAATTATTTATGATAATCTATATAAAAGACAAAATCAGTCATCCAAGCTGGAGCGAAAAATGTTGAAACCAAGTATACAAATTTAATATTAGATGAGGATACACTGAGGGCCCGGATGGCCTCCTCGTTCTTCCTGAGTCCTTAAAAATACCATTACTAGATGTGCTACATTCTGCAACTCATCATGGCACAGAAAAAAATGACCTAAATTATGAAAAAGCTTTAGTGGGTGACTGTACCAAGGCTGCAAAATTGGTTTGTGACCAATGTCTGATTGATCAAACCCCTAACCCAGGAAGACCATTAAGATGGCCCACTAGATGGAACCTTCCTACTGCCTATAGGGCCATTTGAACACTTACAAATGGAATTCATTCTATTGCTCCCACAATGGGTTATCAATATGTCCTTGTCATTATTTGTATTTTCTCAGGATGGACTGACATCTCGCACAAGGGCTGATGTCACAACCATGGCCAAGAAACTCTTAGAAAAGATTATTTTCTTCATGGGGCATCCCCAGAGAGACCTCCAGTGATGGGGAGCTCATTTTGCTGGGCAAATAATTAAACAAATAGGGTGCTGCTGACGCAATGGCATTACTACTGTCCTTACCATCTTCAGTCATCCAGTAAAGTCAAATGGACAGATGGTAACTTAAAACTAAAGCTAGCTGAATTACCAGAATCGACTGGACCACCCTGGGCAAAAGTTCCACCTTCAGTTTTGATGGCAATGAGATCAACACTTATGGGAAAGCACAAATTAACATTTCATGAAATAGTAATAGGAAGACCTATGCCTTTGATGATAGGACCACGTGTGTCTCCATACTCATAAACTGGTATGACTTAGTACTGTAAAGTTTTAATGGATTATGCCACGGTGCCTTTCTACCAGGTGAAGGAAGCTTTTCATGACCCTCCTGCAGATGGTTGAAACTCCCACAGCTTTAGACCCTGGAGAGTGGGTCTTTTGACCTAAGAAAGAACCTGCCCTTGAACCTCATTAGAAAGAATCCTACTATGTTCTCCTCACTATCCAGATGGTAGCCAAACTTCAGAAACTTGAACCCTGGGTCCACAGCTTGTAGTTCAAAGGGCGCCTCCAGACTCTCAGAACTATACACCAGCCAGAGTGTGAGGTTGAAACTGAGCACAGAGGTCCTCCCGCAGAAGCATACAGCTCTCCCAGGATCATAGATCCAAATATTCATCTCCAATATGAAACCTTTATCCCTTTTGCCCATTTGCTATCGCCCTTTCTGTTACTGCATGGGAAGATAATACTGTAATTAGGACTTCACAAACAATAGCTACCGTAGGAAACGACACTAATTGCTGGATTCATCAGGCTAAGCCGAAATCAGGACCTGAAGGGAATCCTGAAGGCCTCGGCGTGCCTAAATTGTTCTGCAGGTGCGTTTTTATAAAGTTAATGCCCTAAGACTACATAGGCTTGTTTCTTGCCTCAATGTAACCCGAGCCTGGACTCGGAAAACAGGATTCACTGAACACATAGACCAAAGATGCTGCAGGGCAGCCAGTGTCCCTCAGACCATCTGTAGGCTTGCTGGCGGGCCCACACGTTTGGGTGGCCTTTCAACGTGGACAGTACGCTAGGTGAGTCCTGGATGAAGGCTGCCAACACCTCCATGACTGGCAATGGGTCTATGATGCTAACACCCGAGGGCACCCCATATGTACCTCCTGGCTACACCTTCACAGGCAGGGGTTTGGGCAGTGACCTCTACGCTTGGGCAACTTGTCCTGACAGCTGGAGGGTGAAAGGACAATGTGCCCTTGCTGTAGTTACTGTTCCACTGTCCCTTCACAATACCTTGGAAATGCGACAGCGTTCCATTCCCCTGAATTTACCAGAAAGAAGTTGACCCCTCTGCATGCACGTCATTTGGAAGGTCCCTTCTTCCCTGGCTTGGGGTTGTTAAAAACGAACATACGTTTAGACACTGACTCTTAACCCTGACAACCCCTGCTGAGTCTAAAGGCCACGGCTGCACAACACAAGTCCCCAGGCTCTGTCGCAGCAGTGGTCTGAGATAAAGAACTGCTTCCGGTTACTTGTTGGCTGACCGAGGGGGTCTGTGCCAGGGCAAATACCTCCGGCTGTTCCTAGATCAAGACCTCTGGTTTTGTAGAAATGCCAACACAAGAAATTAACAAACAAGCTCCTTGGACGCAGGTTGATCCCTCATCTGCTCTGTCCTCTGATTTATTTGATACTGGCTGGTTTGGGTCATGGCGGGGGTGGGGGATGGGGCAGGGCAGGGCAGGAGGACACTGCAGTGTCACGGTATTTTCCACCTAATAGGATCACGATCCAACTGGTGGGCCATGTTCTCTCAATGCTCTCGCAGGCAGGCTTGTAGCCACCAGCACGTGACGGTCACACGGCACTCGAAGAAACAGAAACGAGCTGAATGATGGGAAAAACAGTGACAGCCACTCTTCCACGGATCCAACACCACAGCCCAGGAGTTTCACAATGGGACAAGAGCAGTTTAACTCTGATGGTGACTGAGAGTGGCACAGCTACAAAAGTCTTGGGCAATCTCTCACGTACGGGAGGATGACCAAAGGGGGAGATTGTTAAATTAATTAAAAAGGAGGCCATCAGTTTGAGGTGGCTTCTAACGTCACAGCACCCACATAAGCAAACCACAATGGAAGCCCACATGTAAATTCTCACGGTCACAAGAGTGAACCTACGGTCAAGCCGTCCAAATAGCCAGAGAGGTTTCAGACGACAGCCAGGGGCTAAGTTCCTCACTTTGCCTTCGCCTTTTCTCTATAAAAGTTCTTCCCCAGCTCCCGTGGCCGGAGGCCTTCCAGCCACTTTTGCTTTGGTGCTACTTGACTGGAGCCGATTTTCGTTCAAGTAAATACCGAAAACTTTCATATGCCTCACTTTTATCTATTAACACATGCGTGGTAATTCCTGAAGCAGTTTTCGCAGTGCTTATCAAAGGCGGCAGACAGCAAACCCTGCCAACTTGGGGCTTTCGTATACCGACTTTCCCAGAGAGCCTGGATCTCCAGCTGTGTGGGCTGTGGGTCGTCTGGGGAAACAGGCGACACGCTTACGGAGGGACACAGAGAAGCAGAGTGCCATTGTTTCAATTTATTGCATTCTGAAGTACTGTGGGGGAGGGCCTGAGAACAAGTCCGCTTTATCAGCAGTTCTAAAGCCTTATTACCTGAGATTTACATTCTGGAGGAAAAGAATTGAGACTGAATTTTTAATACATACACCATATCCGAGACTGGGGTTTTGGCTCTGATAGAAGTACTTGCACTAGCCTGAAAAAGGCTATGTGAGATTAGAGAGAGACACCAGCTACACACCGAATCCGGGTAAAAGGTGTGGATTTAACCAGAAAGCCACATACGTTAGCCAAACACCTCCCTCTGGGGCTTGTCAGGGACACTTGATGTGTGCAGGCCACTCAAGGCAGCGTCTTCCCTGGGGCTCGCCGCCAGCCCCAGCATTCCCGGGAAGGCCCAGGCTGGGGGTCGCATTTCTCTGCCCCTCTCTGCTCCCCTTCACTTCTCATCATCCCGCCCGTAGTTAATGGTCTGTAAGGCCTGAGCTATGAGTGTCGCCATCTCCCGGGTGCCCGCAGCAACCACTCTGCAAGACATGAGGTCGAGAGGTCCACCTGAGGACAGAGAGAGAAGAGAGGGCACCTGAGTTACTGGAGGAGGCAGACGGTCGTGAATGAGGACTCGGCACACGAACATTCCCAGGAAAACAAAGGTCCCAGGCCAGGCAGAGGCAGGACCAGACGAGACTGGACCGGAGCCCGGCTCTAGGCACCTCAGCACCCCTCTGCTGCCCCAGCAAGAGACCAGTGGAGGCTGTGCTGGGCGAATGTAGGCTCAGGTCCAGCAATAGGGACTAAGGGTCATAGGATCAGTTAGACCCGGTAGGGGAAGGTAGTTCTCAAATGTCTGCTACCTGGGTGGCACCGGGGACCCCATGTGATGGAAGTCCCCATTCGGCAGGTCTAAAGTCTGAGCAGAGACCTGAAGCAGGCTGGCTAACAGGTCGTGCTGAGAAAGCTAGAGAATGGATCTAAAAAGATCCACTCAGTCTCAGACCCCCTGTTCCTAAATGTTAGAAGAGGGTCGGCCTGAAGTTCAGCAAGTTATGTGGTGAGTTAATAAGTTATGTGGGGGGGCACCTGGGTGGCTCAGTGGGTTAAGCCTCTGCCTTCGGCTCAGGTCACGATCCCAGAGTTCTGGGATCGAGCCCCACATCAGGCTCTCTGCTCAGCAGGGAGCCTGCTTCCCCCTCTCTCTCTCTGCCTGCCTCTCTGCCTACTTGTGATCTCTGTCTGTCAAATAAATAATAAATAAAATCTTTAAAAAAAAATAAGTTATGTGGGGAGAGATGCTATGGGACTTGCCCCCAGGGGGTTAGTCCCTGAGACACGAGGACCTTGACGTTGAAGAACAGGTCATTTTTTGGGGTCCATTCCCCTAAAACCTCACAGGGTGCTCACACTGTATACCCCGCTGACCCCGTGCTGAGTTACAGGGTGTGGGGGGTGCTAGCCTCCTCTTTGTGGAATGGGGAGCATGGTGCTTCTTCTGCCCATCTCATCGAATCTGGTGGGGTCAGGAACAGTTGGCTAGGAAACTGTCAAATGTACCTGAGTGTACAGTGGGGGTGCTGCTACTATGTGGCCGTATTGTGATCCTGGGGTCTCCTTCCCTGCCTCAAGGCGTAGAGAAGGAAGGCAGGAAAGCCGAGAATGCACTGGCCCATGGCTTTTCCAACGTCCTCATAGGGTCTCTCACCAACACGCTCTGAGGAACTGGTGGTGGGGGTGGGCATCTGGTCTGGTAGTTACTGGGGCTAATATCAGGGATGCTGGGTCTGGTGGCATCACTTGCTTTAGCCTGGGGGACACTGGGTCTGGTGGCATTACTGGGTCTAGTCTCCGCTGTCATTTCCCTGGGGACAGACAGCAGGCCGAGGGTCAGAGGGACTCACCTGAAGTGTCCATCACAATGCCACCCGCTTCTCTAATGATGACTGTGGCTGCGGCCAGGTCCCAGCAGTGCAGGCCAAACTGGTAGTAGGCGTCTGCGGCCCCCGAGGCCAGGTAGCAGAGAGCCAAGGTGGAGCTCCCGATCACTCGGACCCTGGAGGAAAGGGAAGAGGGCAAAGGCTCCTGTGAGTGGTGCTGTGTCCAAGTCGGATTCCTCTTAGATAGCTGACGACATCCAAAGTCACCCCCCCATGGGGCATTCCTAGTCATTAAAAATGAGCCATGGGGATTCTCTAATAAGCTCTAGATTCAAGATCTGGGTGCAGACCAGTGACATCCAAGAGAGCTTTCTGCGAGGACAGAAACGCTCCGCACTCTGGAAGTTACTAGCCACTGGTGGCTGATGAGCCCTTGTCGGCTACTGAGACTGAAGAACTCAAGTCTTAATTCCACTGAAATTTCATTTAAACTTAAATCGCCTCGTGGGAGAGAGTGGGAGATCGGAGCAGAGTCACTTGGACTTGGATTTATTTTTTCTAAATGTTTGCTAGAGTAATGTCATTTATGAAGGGCTCTAAGCCCAGAAGGACTCACAGCCTGGGGGCCTTAAGATCGGTCACCTGGCTTCTGGAAAAGCCGCTTGGGAAGGAACAAAGGTCCCCTGTGTGTTCCCTAACAGCGGGCCACATGAGGTAGCATCACACGGCTCTCCCAGGTCTATGTGGGGCACGGGTGGGCCTGCTCCCCTCACGGGGGATCTTTTCCTCTCTCCCTGGGGAACTGTGAGCATGACTCTGTGTTTGGCACTTTTGTCTTTGGCCCTGGGGTGTTCCAGGAATTGAAAAGTGATACCCGTGAGCTTTGGCGTGAAGTAACCTCTCCATGTTGCTCAGGAACAATTTCAGGGTGTCAGGGTCACGTCTGGGGCCGATTTCCGTGAGAACTAAGGCCTTGGAGAGGTCTGCAGTAGAAAGAATTCCCCGCGGTCAGGAAAATCGAGTCTAGGTTCTGACTGACGAGTCAGGGTTCCCTCGGAAGCAAACCTCAGGAGTCTGCCTCTCCTTCCCACTCAGAACAAGTACCATCTGCTGAGAGGTTCAGTTATGAGGTTTCTCCGACAGCTGTGTTGAGACATGAGGACACGGTGACAAGAGGCCAACAGAACCCGCACCTGACTATGTCATCCTCATTCCTGTAAGGCTGCTTTTGGTTTCAGATTTATGAGGGAGCAGATTCTCAGTTCTCTCTCTTTGCAGGGAGAGTTAGCACTAAAGAGCCAGGGAGAGGTGGGAGGCTAATGAGAGTCACCACCATCCAGTCATGAATAAAAACAAAATGACTCCGAACTGGGACCACCTGATGTCTGGAAGACAGAAAAGAAAAAAGCCTCACCCAATACATCCGTCTTTAATAACCTTTCTCTAGGGGTGCTGCCTGAGTGGCGCAGTGGGTTAAGTTTCCTACTCTTGTTTTCGACTCAGGTCTGATCTCGGGGTTGTGAGATCAAGCCCCGTGTCGGGCTCCATACTCAGTGCGGAGTCTGCTTGGGTTTCTCTCTCCCTCTCCCTTTGACTCTCTCTCTCTCTCCTTCAAATAAATAAAACTTAAAAACAGAAAAACCTTTCTCTAACTGCTACGATCATGAAGACAGAAACATCAACCCTGCAGAGAAATCAACTTTTAAATAACGACTTTGGAAAGGGAGTTCTCAGGCGTAACCCCACTGGGCGTAAAGAAGGCCAACACCGTGGCCGTGTGGCCTCCTCAGTGCAGGGTGGCTGGGCACTCAGGCCAAGCACTCGGTTCTGAGACAGGAGCGGGAAGCTGGCCTGAGGGCACAGAGGGACGTGCCTGGGCTCCCTTCCTGGGCCTGACTCACGGGCAGGCAATCACGAGCAGTTTGTCTGTGCTTTGCCATACTCCCAAACACAACCACATTTAGTCTGTCGTGTCTGGTCAGGCCTTCTGGCTCACAGTCAGCCACACCAACGTCTCCAGATAACAGAACAAGTTCACTCCACGAACTGGAGGGAAAACATACTCCACGAGTTATGTCTCTCAATGGGTCTAATCCTATGTTGGCATCTGCAAAGTCCCTCACTGCAGGACCAGATGACGGTGAGGGGTCCCCCTCCTCTCAGACAGAACCTATATCCATTTCCCCTTTTCTTAAATTGTAGGCTCTCATTGTCTACTTTCTGAAAACCACTCGGCTCCACACTGGTTACCTGCCTGGGAGACACGGTCTGAATCACTCCCTGCCAGGCACGCCAGCACCAAGGCTGAGCTAATGACATACCTCCCATGTGTCCAGTGTGTGAGTGAGGGGCTCTGCCCACGGAGGGCCATGGGGCCGGGTGGCTCCAGGATCCCCAGGGACAGGTCACTGCCCGAGCTTAACTCCTAATTCTCTCTCTGGGCTGCAAACTGAAAAGGTTATTTTCCCCAGGGGAGGGAAAGAAGACCTCTTTTGAAGAAAACGACATCAGGGGTGCCTGAGTGGCTTAGTCATTAAGCACCTACCTTCAGCTCAGGTCATGATCCCAGGATCCTGGGATTGAGCCCCGCATCGGGCTCCCTGCTCTGTGGGAAACCTGCTTCTTCCTCTCCCACTCCCCCTGTTTCTGTTCTCTGTCTCTGTCTCTGTCTCTCTCTCTCGCGCGCGCGCGTGTGCGCGCACTCGCTCTCAAATAAATAAATAATACATCTTTAAAAAAAAAAAAAAAGGCACAAAAAACGACATCAACAGAACCAGGGGCAGTAAGCGCTTAATAAACAGTCACTGAAGCAACAAGCACTTTCCTTCAAGCACCAGCATTAAAGAAACCCTGGTCAGAGTCTGCTTGTGTGGGTTGATTTGTTAAATTAGTAGAATTTTTAAATTTATGAGAGGAACGTTGGAGTAAAGTAGAATTTGGCTGGCTAGTGTAAGAATCTAATTAATCACTAGACATAACACTATTTTGGTGGGGGGGGTTGGTGAATTCTGAATGATAAATGTTTTCATTAAAAACATTCTTGAAAGAGAACCTGGGGCACCTGGGTGGCTCAGTGGGTTAAACCTCTGCCTTCAGCTCAGGTCATGATCTCCGGGTCCTGGGATCGAGCCCCACATCCGGCTCTCTGCTCAGCAGGGAGCCTGCTTCCCCCCCCCCCCCCCCCCCCCCTGCCTCTCTGCCTACTTGTGATCTCTCTGTTAAATAAATCAATAAAATATAAAAAAGAAAGACAGAAAGAGAACCTACTGAAATTTGGGGAGTGACTGTTAAATGAGAAAGGATGAACCTTCCTGGAGGAGGCAGAGGAGGGAAACAGAAGTGGAATTTGAGAGTATGCATATTTTAGATTTTGATTATTCTTTTTTCCCAAATGATTCCCCTCCCCCAAGCTGTATCCGTAGGACCACTGTCCCCTCCCCAGTAAGGTACAGTTCTGTACTATTTTCAAGACCTTACTCTGTGATATATGTTTCAGGAGTGATTTTTTTTTTCTTAATTTGCATTTTTTTAAATAAACATATATTTTTATCCCCAGGGGTACAGGTCTGTGAATCGCCAGGTTTACACACTTCACAGCACTCACCATAGCACATACCCTCCCCAATGTCCATAACCCCACCCCTCCCTCCCAACCCCCCTCCCCCCATCAACCCTGTTTGTTTTGTGAGATTAAGAGTCACTTATGGTTTGTCTCCCTCCCAATCCCATCTTGTTTCATTTACTCTTCTCCTACCCTCTTAACCCCTCATGTTGCATCTCCTCTCCCTCATATCAGGGAGATCATATGATAGTTGTCTTTCTCCGATTGACTTATTTCGTTAAACATGATACCCTCTAGTTCAGGAGTGATTTTTCTCAGAAAGCTAAGATCAGGAGAATAATCCCTACATACAAGGCATTTCCTGGCTCCAGGATCTCAGTCACCCCGGCGGAGGAAATTAAGGAACACACTGACAATTTCCTTCCAGGAACTAGAAAGCCTAACAATTTCGATAGGGAGATAAACACCTACTTTTAATCAGGTTTGGAAGACGTGACTACTGGGATATTATCTACACTACTGTGATGATTATTTTGCAATATATACACATGCTGAATCATGATGCTGTACACCCAAAACTACATAATGCTATACAGCAATTATACCTCATTAAAAAAAACGTGACTACTGGTTCGGGCCAAGGCCTAGCCCAATCTGTCCTTATCAGAGGGCTGGGCTGGCTGCAGGGTGAGTGGAGAGCAAAGTCCCGGAGGGCCAGCCTAGACAAGCAGATCCCCCTACACACAGGGCCGGTAGGGGAAGAGCAGAGGGTTTCAGACTAAGTGACACAAGGCTATTTCACAAAGGGAAACTCAGCAAAGTGTGGAAACAGTAGCTCACATTTACCAAGCTCTTGGTCTCTCCAGACAGGCCAGTGCTAAGCACTTACTACTTATGCCTCCATTCCTCTCTCTCTTTTCTCTGTTACATCTATGATACATTGATGACTCCATTCTTCTGTTACATTTATGATACATTTATGATTCCATTTCTCTTTTTTCTTCACTATTGCACTGCCCTTGTTTCACAGATGGAGGAACCAAGCCTACAGAAGTGACACTTCTGTAGGGGGTCATGTGGCACTTAGGTGCTGAGAGGGGTCATGTGGCACTTAGGTGCCGAGACCCAGACTTAACCTCTAGCTTGTCCAGTGATTATGTGAAAGAAAGTGTTTCTTCCCATAGCTTGTAGATTTGTGAAGAAATATCTCTGTATCCAGTTCTTTCCTCTCATTCTAGTGGCAATGCATCCATTCTTTATCTCTCTGGTTAGTATCTTTTTCCCAAATGCAATCAAAAACAAGGAAAAAGGAAGCCTGAGTGCGGCCACCTACAGACCAAATGCTTTCTTTGGTTTTATTTTGCTATAGATAAAACAATATTTAACATCATCTTATGATTATTTCTAGCTACCAATAATCACTGATTTTTACATTTTGTTATCCTTTATACTGTATTTACCATAATATTTTAGCTCAATCAAATGCTAACGTATATATGTATTTCTTAAAGATTTATTTTAAACAGAGAGAGAGAGAGAGAGAGATTGCGAGCGAGCAGAGGGAGGGTCAGAGGGAGAGGGAAAGAATCCCAAGCAGACCCCTCGCTGAGAACAGAGTGATGCGGGGCAATCCCAGAACACTGAGACCATGACCTGAGCTGAAATCAAGAGTCAGATGCTCAACCCACTGAGCCACCCAAGCACTCCCCTACAATGTATATATTTTTTAATTTAAAATATTCTCTGACTTCATGGATGTGTGTGTGTGTGTGTGTGGAGGGGATGGGGAGTTATTGCTTAATGGGTACACGGTTTCATTTGGAGAGATAAAAATTTTGGAAACAGATGGTGGTAATGGTTGGAAAACACTGTAAATGTAATGAATGCCACTAAATTACACATTTTAAGTGGCAAATTTTATGTTATATATATTTTGCCACACACACATACAAAATCCAAAAATTTTGAAGTAGGGCATCTCCGTATACTTTTTCAACAAACAGATTCTAGAATGAAAAAAAAAATCATCCATTAATAGACTTCCAACAGTTTGAAAACCCTTTTTCTGGTTGAGCAAGGTTAAAACACTCCAAGTATCAAGGAGTAATGCTCTCTCAAGAGAAATTTTACAACTTAAAGGTAAGAGAAGTAGTCATCTGTAGACACTGAAACATGTACTCATGGAAAAGGAGTCAATCATGCTTTCACATCCGGGAAACATCCCCTATGGACAGATATGGACTCTGCTGAACACACAGCCCCCATCCCCCCAACACCACTTACACTAGTGTATATTTTCACACACGTGTCCTAACTCTTTCAGTCTTCTTATAGACCATGAGCAGCTACTCACACAAAAACAAAATTTAATTCTCTTTAACTTAAAAGCATAAGTTACAGGAAAAAAACATAAGTACTAGA